CATTACATAATGCCGTATTATTGTAATGACAGGGTGACACCTGCCGGCCTGTAAGGGCAATTACGGTTATAGCGGCATTACATAATGCCTTATTATGAATGGGTGTATCTGGGGTCAAGGTCAAGGGCGGAGTCAGTCGAGAAGCTCCGGGAACCATCCCAAAGGGTCTAGAAGGTTCTAGAAAGGGGGTGTGGCCAGAGGTGGAGCTTGGGCACGCCATGCAGATATAAGGAGCACCGAACCAAAGCTTCGAAACTGTTAGTGTGGGGTCTGGGTCCTGGTTGCATCGCTGCCATCGTCATCTCTTCATCTTCGACCACGTGGCTGTTCTTCTGCGGGACCAGCTCTGTCGCCGCCGCTACGTTCATCAACCAGCCAGCGTAGCGCAGGACAGAGATGGGCTGTGTGTTTGGACAGCCAAGGTGTAGCCGCGTTACGAAGTGTATCGCCCTGTGTGCTCGTAATAGATAATGTGTTCTAGATTTGAAGCTTTCGTGACTGCAAGGATTCATACTCTTAGTTCTTTCGGTAAAGTCACGTAGGTAAAAAATGAAATTAATAAAAATAAAACAATAAAAATCACGACGTTTCGGAGGCAACACAATTCGCTCACTACACAAGTATTAACAGATGCTGTATTTTGTGCTGTGTTTTTCCATCAGTTTTACCTCGTTGTATTGATTAAACACGTTGGAGTCGGATGTTCACCCTGGCTCTGAAGGTTTATTGAATGCGAGGTTAGCTACTCGGATAGTTGTGCAACGCAGCATACAGCGAGGCCGAGACAATACAGTAGTATGGCCCTTGATTTTTTTTTTTATCAAGGTTACCCTATTCAAAGCAGGGACATTTTACAGCGGAAAACTGTGTGAAACGCAGTGCTTTCTTGAACGAACCATCAGATTGTTTACAGTCATGTACTATATATTCCAGCAGATAGCGTTCGTAAAACGCCCACCCATTTTACACTGGTGGTGAAGGTAATACTAACCATATCTCTGCAATAAATCTGCCTCTCATTGTCCTAGTCCTGTGGTGATAGGTGGCAGGAATTACCGCTACGGCACAGAAGTAGTGATGTTACTTGTTAATTTGTCCATGTACTCTATTCCTGTTGTGGCACACGCCAATTTACCGTCATACACGGCGCCCACGAAGTTAACAATAAGTCAATTCACTGCTTAGTAAGGGGCCCCCCACATCTGTGCTGGTAATGTTGGTTGTTTGACGATACTTCACTACGTTGGTCAGTGCGGATTGGTGGAGTAGTGATGGTGGCGAGATGTTAACTACCTCACCCGGTATGCAGGAGATTGTGGATACGATTCCCGACCCTGCCACCTGTATATTTAGAGTTTGCATGTCCTCCCCGTGGTCGCGTGGATTTTTCTCCAGGTCCTCCAGTTTTACCCTCTACATTTAGAATCAACATGCATTTAGAGTATTTTGCTGCTAAACACTTCCATATGATAAGCCACTTTGTTGAGCTTTTATTGGAGGTCAGGTCGCTTCTGAAAAACAGCTCTATAGCTCAGTGGACCTTCCTTGCCTGGTAAAATAAAAGAAAACGTTTTTTTGTATTGTTTGAAGTGGCAGGCAGGACCCGTTGCTCATATCGCTTGCCCACTGACGTTAGCCGTGGCCACAAATCTAAATTGAGTCGCTGAGTTCATAGTTAAGTTGCGTGAACCACTGTGCCAGTGTTCAATAAAAGGTATCATTCGTTTTTAAAGAATCGCGAGTAGACGGCAATTTCAAGTGCGAGGTTTAACGCTGAGGTTACGTGAAAGGTGAGGTGTATGCCAAAAATCACAAACGCTCAAGCTGCTAACAGAAGCATTTGAAGCAACCACAGCTGAGATGGGATGTGTTTTGTCAACACCATAAGAGATATGTGGAGGCTTCAACGATTTAAGACTCGTAAAATAAATGCTTCATACTTACATGTGCATCATAGCCTACATCAACCTCGTTCAAATCGCTGTCTACTGATAGTTATTTCACTATATTAGACAGCATATCTGCTAAGCCTCCATCTTAACTTAAATAAACTGGAAGTTAAGCTGTATTTGCAAGATCCATGGAGCATAGTTTAAATCTGTTATATCTCCAGCTATATGACAAGTCTTTTATGCTTATTCACAAAAACTCATTCCTATGCATTTTAGCCAGGCGCTGGTAGTGTGCATCATGGAATGCAGCACTGCAGAGGCAAGTGTTTTGCTCAGAAGTCTCCTGACGTGCCCAAAGAGGGAGTAGCGTCTACCTGTGATGATGTCCCAGATGCATTGATTGCCTGGTTTGTGACGATGTCGTTCGTACCCCACGACCCTGACGATGTGGCACTGGCACCTTATGCAGGAAAGACTATAAAGTTGTCTCCCGTGTTCCTTCAGCAGTGTCCACGCCTTTGAAACCACACGGCAGCACTGGCAGGATGCAAGTGCTGTGTATATTCGGCTTTTTTGTTGCATGGCTTAGTCACTTGTTTCTCCAGGCGTGGACCACCTAACCCATAATTATCCACGATGCTAGGCCCATTCGGCGATGCACCTCTGGTGATTAGCTGGCAGAGTCGAAGTCACATCCTCGTTATGGAAATGTCTTTGTGGCTTCGACGACTTGTCCCACGAGCAGGACGGGGATTCGCGGGGGCTCGTGACCTGATGTACCGGATTAAAGTTTTCATCCAGGAAGTGTGCGTCCACATGATGCCGGCCTCCTCTTCCTCCCGATGGGAGTGCTGCCAGTCATTGATTGGGCCTCTTTGTTAACAGAGCTGCGTCATGTGCATAATCAAGGTCTGTGAATAGCGAGTCTCTAATTCGCATGCCCGGGTCACCGGTGCATCAACTGAGAATCCAGTAGACGGCACAACAGAACTGGGCTAGAACGGAAATGCAGCTCTGGCGAACCCCAGACGTGGTGGCAAAGGAGCCCGATATGTTGGATCCAATGCCTTCGCATGAGTGGGTTCCTGCATGAAGGTCCTGGATCAGCCTGAGTAGAAATGGGGGGGGGGGGGGGGGGGGGTATGCCAGAACCGGCCCTAGACCTTTGGGGGCCCTAAGCAAAATTTGTTTGGAGGCCCCTTTGATGTATGATTTTTTTCAGCCACTGAGCTAGCAGTGACTCTAGGGGGCCCTCTGCTGGCCATGGGGCCCTTTGCAATTGCAAGGGTCGCTTAGTGGCTGGGCCGGCTCTGGGGTACGCGGTCGCTTTGGGGGCTCTTACAGGGCGTTCTGATCGAAGGTAACCTCAATATTGATGTAGGCCACGTGGAGTGGTCTCGTCAACTGACGGTTGCGCTCAAACAGTAGTCGCAGGGCGAGCACTGTGACCATTGTGGCCTGTTGTAGTTGACCACAATGGGTCAGCAAAAACTCGACACGGTTGAGTAAGACATGGCTTTACACTTTTCCCAGTGCTGAGAGTAGTGATAGGATGGTAGTTGGGGCACTGGTTTGGGTACCTTTTGGCAAAATCATCTCTTGTTTTGATTTGAACCTTCACTGAGGACGCACAGCTCTGCATTAACATTGACTCTGTCAACCTAACCACACTGTCCGCACTCACATTCTGCTGTATTGCAGTCTCATTTTGGAATCGGTTCTAACTTTCTCCAGCAAACTGTATCCAGAACTGAAGTGTAGACTCCTGAATGGTAACATTCACTGAGTAACGATTCTAGTTTGACCATGCACCTCTGAAACTCTGACATTGTAATAGAGTTGTACTCGAGTTATTTTTAGGAAAATAGACTAACCTCGGGGGATGCATGATGCGTCAGTGGAAACATCAATTAGAAACCCCAATGAAATCGAAATCAATAAGGACCACTTTTTTGTAACGTATGTAGCATGTACAGCAGAATGCATTATCCAATGCTCAGTGGCAGATAATACATCTGAAGAAAAAGAACTACATACCTTAAGTAATTCCAAGCCAGAGTGTGATTTTTTTCAAGATGACTTCAATGTTTATTTTCTAAATCAGCATTTGAGTTGCATAGTTGAGAATTGGCCAAGTAGATGTTTGCATTCTACCACATATAGTCTGATATCTCTCCACAGAACGTTCTGCCACTTTGCCACTGCACGTTACCCCACACCATATGCATGCAGTAGCTGGGTTATGTGTCCACGTCGTCGTCAATGATTGGTATGAAAGTGTTTTATGTATCCATAACCCTGCCCCATCAGAGGCAGTTGGTTGATAAAGTTGGGATCTTATTCTTCTTATCTCCAACTGCTCAGCACTCCCAGGTCTAGGTTGTGCTCTTTTGGTGATTAGGGCTTTTGTTAGCAGTGCCACCCAAGCCATGGAGCACCTCTCCACTTGAAATTAGTCAATCAGAGTAATTCGATATAATTCTATATATTTAAGTCTGCCTTGAAAACCCATCTCTTTAAACTGGCCTTCCACCTTTAAATGCGTTGGTTGCCCTGGTTCTATTTTTGTTTCCTGCTTTTCGTGCATTGCGCCTTGGGATCCCAGGATGGAATGTGCATTATACATTATAATTATTATTATTAAGTTGAATAATAGTCTACGGTTACTGTTTTAGGATAGTATGTAACCTCTTAAACTGGTATGTTTGCTGCACTGATTGTATGACTGATGATGCCAGTTGGCAGCAAAATGCAAGAGAGACTGGGAGTGGGTAAGCATGCAACATGCTTTCTGACTTTAACCAGCATGTCCGGCAAAAATCTGACAACTTAAATGTATGGCTACTCAGTCAATGGTGGCAATTGTGAGAGCACTCAAGTTCTCCTGTTTGCATTTGAGCCTGTGCCATGACTTGTCAGCAAGCCTTCACCACCGTACATGGCTTCAGAGCTCACCAAGCATGGCAAAGTTGCCACTCAGCCATCGTAACAATGGTGGTCACTGTAGGTAGTAAAGCAAGCAGACGAATTCCTGAGAGGGGAGGTAAGCGTGTCATTGTGACATGTGGAGTGTGATGTTTTATTTTGAGCAAAAATTGTAGACATCACCTTATATAGCGAGTGCAGTTGATGAAGAAGTCCACAAGGCATGCATAAAGGTAGGTCTCTACAGGACAGGTAACAGATACATAAGCACTGTTTAGTAATTGTAGAAGTAAACCATACATCAAGAATGGCTTGTGTACTTTTATATTTGTAGAGTGTGCAACTTGTATACAAAACCTATGTTCTGCAAATGAACAATTGAAAATAGTGGTTTTGGTTATGTCCCTTTCAGGGTCTATTTCAGGTCTCAAAAGCAAATAAAATTGTCATGAGATAACTTAGGATGGAAAACAAAAGAGTGTTACTTTAACACGTAGGGCTCTCGCAACCAATATCATCCATAATAGAGTTTGTTTTGGGTTAGATCCTATAAATATATAAATGTGTCATTAAAACCCGCCACCACCCGACACAGCCAACTAGTAAGGGTTTTCACGTAAACAGAACATGGCAATTCGTCACTAGTACAGCAAACCGGTATGTGTTGGAGAGCCAAGTCACAACATTTATATTCAAGTGACAACCCTTACTAGTTGGCTGTGTCGGGCGGTGGCAGGTTTTAACGACACATTTATATGAATAGGGTTCATCTTCTTGGTTTTTTCGGTAAAGTCATGTAGACTTTACCGAAAAAACCAAGAAGATGAATCCCTGCAGTCACGAAAGCTTTAAATCGAAAAATGAATAGGGTTTTTTCCCCTTTTTTCATGGCAACAAAACTGAAACCTTTTTACAAGGAATCATGTCTACATTAACCACAATACTTGTGGTCAAAATGCAAACAAAAAACACACTCTGATTATTATCATAATATATGCATTGTCATTGAAACTGATTGGTCCACACCAGAGACGGCTTTCTTTTAAGCCTCGTCTCAAATGGTGCTAGACCAGAGGACGCCAAAAGGTGTACAGCTCAAAGACAATGCACTATCAAAGTAATGAGGGCTCAGGGTAAGCATCTACATCATTTGACCTCGTTTGCCAGTACCAATATATAAAAATAGGGTTTTTCCCCTATATTATGAGTGTGTTTTTTTTTGTATTTGACCACAAGTATTGTGGTTAATGCAGACATGATTCCTCGTAAAAAGGTTTCAGTTTTGTTGCCAGAAAAAGGGGGGAAAACCCTATTATTATATTTTTCTACTGGCAAAGTAGATCAAATGAGACATTTATATATTTACGCGATCTAACCAAAAAAAACCTATATTATTGAAGAGAGTGTTAATTCCACCAAACACTAGAGTAACATCGGTATTTACACAATACAATGAACTGCCAAGAACAGGTATTGGCCAAAGACAAAACGTTAGGATCCTCTGTAAGGCATTAACAGACTGTTGTTAGCCATCACCGTGAAGGCCAACATGGCACAGAAGGGGGTGGTGTGGCTAGCATCATTCCCCACCGCATTTGTCTCCCCATTGGGGCTGTTTACACACCACACCAGGTACTCATTTTAAGGCTGCATTAACCTCAGGGAGGCCCAATACTAGTTAGATATTCACCACTGTTGGTGGCCGTGAGTGGAAATCGAACTCAGTTCACTGGGTTCATGTGCAATGCACTAACCACTACACTACTCCCCACCATAAAAATCTAATATTTTAACAGGACAATATGTACACATATATACGAGCAGGGCCTAATAAAACGTGCCTACAGGCACAGGCACTGCTTCCTGCTTCTCAACCAAACTTTTGTGTTTATGTTTCTTGACTGGTAAACACTCATGTATATCACAAGGATGCCACTCACTCATCGTAAGACTTAGTAGCAAACTTACTAAGCTTAATTGCAAATTGTTGCGATGGGTATGCATCCGTGGAATGTTTTTGTTTTATTATACTCTGCATGCTATCAAATATTAGTGGCAAAAAATACTAATTTCATACTGTATTAAAAAATATATTCAAATCTACTGAATTACTGCTAGCAGAAAGCCCTGATGCATATGGATGTGTTGGAGGTTGTAGGATGTAAATGCTTTAATGAATATAATTTATTCCTGGGCATATTCGGTTTGTATACCAATGTTGCAGAAACCATGTGGAAATGTCACACAGCAGTGCATTTCATGTTTCAGAGATTGGTTTGTGGAAGAAATGTATCACTGAACTTCTTGCAAATAAAAACATTACCCTTTTATCCTTAAATTAGCAGATAATGTCACCTTCATAGCATCAGTCTCTCTACAAAATAAAGAAAAGTATTTTGTTCACATCCCATCGACCCCATGGCCTTTTGAGAATGCATAATTTCAGCAGCATTCCACCAGCATTAATGCTACTGAAATCACGTACTCCCAGAAGGCCGTGGGGCTTTTGTAAGTTACTTGTATTTATTGTAGACTATTCTATCCTTTGCATATGGCAACATGTTCAGGAAGATAAATGTATAGTTGGAACATTGAAGGGCATGTATGATATTATATTTTCTGTGAATAAATCCCAATGACCACACCACATCTAATCAGGAAATTGAACTGGCCTTACCAGGGAGGTTGAAGAGAGTGTTGAGGACATAGAATCTCTCGGTATCGTCTCTCTGGATGAACTTGTTTGAGTACTGCTCTCTAATCTCAGGCCTAAAACACAACAGACAACACAGGAAGCCACGAAAGGTATGTTAAGGCACTAAGACTATCAGATTACCTAAGTAATCATTGCCACAATCCATTGATAAACGTTTAAGATGTAATCTCTATAATGTGTATTTTAAGCTACTTGTATATTAACTCTCAATCATTACTAATGAAATTGCATAATTGAAGCAAGTCTGTCTAATCATCAATGAAAAACGTTGTAAAGCACGTACCCAAGGTTACTTTACAAGTATCCTCTAAGTTGGTATGCAATATGGTCTTCTTTGTATGAAGCAATGTAATCAAGGCACAGCAAATCAACATTACAGGCTTCGGTTTGGCATGTGCTCTGACTTATCGCCAATATTTAACCTGAAATTAAAAGTGATTTTCCAAACCATTCGATCATATAAAGAGGAAAGTTTGACATATTTATGGGTTGTAGAACTTACGAAACAAAAAACACATAAAGTGCTGTATTTTTATGATTGCTTCTATATGCAAATACTGCATGTGCAGCATACATTTTGCAATATTTTCATTATCGGTATATGTCTTTTTAACCCTTCTGTGTTCAACTTAAATCATAGTTAGGTGGGTGAGTTTTCTGCATAGTATAAATCCACGAGTCGTCTTTACCCCGCAGCTCTGATTAGTTGGCTACGTATGGTGCGAAAGAAGTTCAACATACATACCCCTTCATGAATTTAAATCCGTGGACGCAGACCAAGAGATTCCCATAAGCGTCCACCTTCAGTAGGTTTCCATAAAGAGTGTCAAAAACCAGCCCCCTGCCAAAAGAAGAAAATTGAAGACACACCAACAACTCATTCATTTGTATTTCACAATTGCGCATATATTTTACAAATATCATGATGGCTAAACGTTGTTTTTTCCGTTCCTAAATGGGCCTGGGGTGGAGCCGTGGTGGCACAGTGGTTTATGTACTTGCAATATGAACCATGCAAACTTACTCTGATCTGGCCAGGGCAAACATCGATGGCCGTGGCAAACGTTGGTGAATCTGTCCTGGGTATTCCCTTTGCCATCCCGTTGTGAAATATGGTCAAACAACCCCCACGACTGACAAAGCAGATGCAGTCCTTCACAAAGCAGTGGGTTGACAAAGGGCTACAAATGACTGTACTATCATTATTAATGGTCCTTGTTAATTTAGATGTTTAAAAAGAAACAACCATTGTTATCCTGATCCAATGGCATGTGTACATGTCACGTTGCAATAAGGAAATAAAATATGTTTAAGCAGAGTATTTCAAATTAATGCAGCTACAACCAAGATAATCGTTTAGGTGACTGCTAAGGCAGGGAACTGCTCATGGAAAGAAATCATCTTTATCACTGGAATACAACCCCGAGCCACCCTCTGCCTCACCTGGGGTGTGTTCAATGGGCCAAGAGGGCTTTGCCATGGCGCTAGGAGGCAGAAGTCAGCTTCAAATCTAGAATTAATACCCTCTATGGGCAAGAATTTCACCTATCTGTTAGAACTTTTAACAGACAACGAGACAAGAAGTCACAGCTTCTCGAGACAGATTTTTTGCTGTGACAGTTTCACCTGAAGACGGAAGCTTGTGTTGCCTCCGAAATGTCGTGATTTTATTGTTTTTATTTTTTATTAATTTTAATTTCATTTTTTACCTACGTGACTTTACCGAACGAACTAAGAGTACAGAAGTCAGCTCTCATTGAACGAGTATGAAGAGATAACTCTTTCAAATGGCGGAGAAAATTTGCACAAGCAAAGGGTTTAACATCAATATATAAATGTTTAGTTACTCATATATATATATGTACTAGTCGTCTTGCAATTTACCCCCCGAAGCTATTTGAGAATTGTTCCGATTTGATTAACTAATAAATGCGGTATACTTGTTTTTACAGTTATGTGAATGTAGCAGCCTCGAGTGTCTGCAGGGGCTCGCATGAACCTGTTGCATACAACATTTGCGAATGGAAAAACATCGAATCTCGAACACACGTGATGGGCTGCAAGTACCGCGGGTTCTAAGAAATGATACGGATCGATTCCTCGATGCATCGTTACTCCACCATTATCCACCCGCCATCTTCAAACAATGTGACAATGTCATTAGACCTCCTTTGCCAGTACTAAAATAAAATAATAGGGTTTTTCCCCTTTTTTCTGGCAACAAAACTGAATCCTTTTTACAAAAAAAACTGATTATTATCAGTGTGTTTTTTGTTTGCATTTTGACCACACGCATTGTGGTTAATGCACACATGTTTGTATTTTGACCACAAGTATTGTGGTCATAATGCACGCATGATTCCTTGTAAAGAGGATTCAGTTTTGTTGCCAGAAAAAAGGTGAAAAAACCCCTATTATTATAATGTGACAATGCCCACCACCGAACGGTCAGCGAGGCAACGCCACAGACCGCTATCTCCTGTCACGACGCGCTCTGGGCTAACGAGCCGTTCAATATAGAGGCTCGCTCTGGAGCTGTCTGGAGTGCTTGGGGCCCATTGAACGCACCCCTCCGTACGATACCTCGCAATAGATGAAGTTCACTGCAGGGGGAGGATAATGTCACACAAAACATGCAGGACGTGAGCACGAGAACTCATGTGGAGCTTGGTGCGAGCGGTGATGTACGCAGGGGTTATCAAAAACACTGGGTGTTCGGTGAGCCATGGTTATTGTGGTACTAATATCGCATCAGTTGAGTTTGTTTTTGTCCAGAACATGAATTGAGATTCAAATAACGTTATTTATTTAAGATTCTTAAACAAGGCATACAATGATAATATAAATGACGACTCAAACAACGGTCTCAATTACTTGAGATATAGCATGGTAACAAAGAGTTCACGAAATATTAGAAATATTTCTGCATATTAATATACATTACATCATGGTATTTTTCCCAATAAAGCCAGTACCAATTCCATAGAAAATATGTCTTGATCAAGATGTGTGGTTTGACTCAGACGTGCATTTTTCAAAGTTTAACAATAATGCACTCTCCCGATTCTAGGAAAATGACTTCCCACACCAAACCTATCTTTCTAATAACACTCCTGCCCACACATATGAACTCTGCGCTGAAAAATGCCCTGCCCCTAATAAATAAGTTTAAACATGTTAGTTTATAGAAACCATATTTTATTCACTAATTTCTATAATAATCAGATGCAGTGAGATGCAGGAAGACTCCGTGAGATAGTGCTCGTTAGTGAACAGTGAGGCTACACGTTTATGGGGACCTAGGGCTGTTAAAGTTTTGGGGGCCCCACTTTTGTACTCATACTCCCTTCCCTTTTAACTGTCTTACATCAAACATCGCACTGTTATTTACGAGGCGTATTTCAGGCGTAGTTTTTAAATGTGATATGCGAATTATAAAGTTAAGTGAAAGTTAACACGAACAAAACTATATAACTTTTGGCATATATATAATTGTTAGTAATGCACACAATTATTTGGTTTAAATAACCAAATTACACTATAGGATGTATCATCGTGCTACATTATGGCATTTAAACCATTATAAAGCAGTATATTTATTTTTTGGTGGGCGGGGGGGGGGGGGGCTCAATGATCATAAAATAACTTTAGCAGCCCCCTAAAGGCCCCACATTAATCCGACACTGGCCAGGAGGGGTTCATCCTCACCTGATGGGGAACTCGGGATCGTACTCAAAGTTGTGCAGCTCTTGAGGGTAGCCGATGGACACCAAGCGCTCGATGGTCAGATCAAACTCCAGGGCTTCGTACTCTGGTGAGCGGTACACTGTGGGAGGGAATCTGTTGTCGTGACGCGCCAGACAGTCCCCTGTTCTCTTTGTGCAGGTGGTAAAAAAATGATTATCAGTGTACAATATGTTCAACCGCAAAGCACTTAAATACGGTGAGAAGTCCACAAGGGAAATTAAGGACTGCTTTCTGTAATTATCTTGACGATTTTTCCAATCCAAATGAAATGTCACAATACTGTATACTTTCTTCATGTGCGTGTTTTTTGTTAATTCGTAATTAGATAAAAAAAATATTTACAGTAAAATACTCATTGAGAATGTTAATCAAGTCTTTCTCTAAACTGGGAGCTTATTTATGTTCTAATCTTCAGAAGTTAATATTTTCCACCACCTATTCTTCCAGAAAGAATGCATATGTTTAAAAGAGCAACCATTATATTGGACTTGCAGGTCACTTCCAGAAAGCTATTGTAACAAGCACTGAATATTCCTCCTTACTTATCATGCAACTGCCCACATGGTGCATGCGTGATCGGCTAAAGGGTCTACATGCAACTGCAGGAAACGTGAGAAAATTATTAACCAATATTAAATGAGTGATACAAGAAGCATCCAGGAACAAGTGGACTTGTCCACGTGTTCTTTAACATGAACCCACATCCAGACATGAGTGCAAAGGGCTAATTCCAGACCATGAGCAGAGTACTTTTTTAACACTTTAGTGCAGCAGGGTAAAGGTGCCAAGCATAAAGTTGTGCAAAGATGACGTTTGACCTGCCACTTGATTGGGCACTCCCACGAACAATAAGTGTGATAAAGTCATCTGTGGACCACGGGTGCCAGCGACATATCAGGTACCCGCCTCACAACCCAGAACATTGACACACTTCTGATAAGCAGCCTGTACTATGCCACCTCTTGAACTGATCTTGTGCGGCATCAGCTAAGGGGAGGCCCTCATTCTGAGCACGGAAGCCTTTACGCACGTATAACGATAAACCACCGTCCCGTGAAAGCACTCCTGCACGATTAGGATGGCCGATCAATGCTTCAGCTTATCAGCCTCTAACCGTGGTCGGGTGGATTTTTCTATGGGTCCTCCGGGTTTTCCCTCCACATGTAGCAACATGCGTTTAGAGTATTTGGCTGCTGTACATTTCCACACGATAGGCCACTTTGTTGAGATATTATTCGTGATAGCCAGGTCGCTTCTGAAAAAGAGCTATGTAGCTCAGTGGTCCTTACCTGGTAAAAAAAAACACATTTAAAGTACATCACAGTATTGATTGTCGAGGAAACCTCGACTGTGTATTTTGAACTTGAGCCAATGCAATTGGCTATGACATCGTTTGGACGTCGCATGTGTTACTGCTACCAGTGGCTATGTCCAATACCCTAAATTCATTTACATTTGAACTGTTTCTAATTTGGACGCAGTAACGTGGCTATCAATGATTTAAGACAATGCTGCTATTCATCACACCATGAGCTATGCCCAATTGGGTGAAAGGTGCATGGTGGTGTGATGAAAACAAACTAGAGTGCCCCGTATAAATGATTGAAACACATTTGCATTCATTGTAGCATGAAAGAGAAAAAAGATTTTAAACATCACGTTCATATTTGTAAAGGATCTGAGTCTCCAATAGTGAGTTAGAAAGGTGACTTAAATATTCTTTGGGTCTTTTGGTAAAGTTACGTCGATAGGTTCAAAGAAAATACAAAAAACTACGACGTTTCGATCGCATCACAAGCGGTCATCATCAGGAAAAGGTTGTTAGCGTCTAAAGGCAAACTGTTTATAAAGGTTTTAAATGGACGTAGCCCAAACATCAGCAACATGGGTGGAGCAACTAATGTTAATGTAAGTGATGGGAAGCGACCGTGATTGGCGGTGGGTTTCCACCAATTAAAGGGCTGCCAGGTAAAAATTTGCATGTTAATGTAACGTCGGTGAGCAGCCTCCACGGGGAGCGTGCCGAGGTGGCTATGTTAATGTGAGAGATTAGCATGTTAATGTGAGAGATTAGCATGTTAATGTAAGATCACAGAGCCACGCCACGTCGAGGTACGGCGCGCGAAGGTGGCTGTGTTGGTGTGAGAAATTTAACCTGTTAATGTAAAATCGAAGAGCCGAAAATAACAACTAACATCGGAAGGTGGCAGGATGGGAACATCACAGCCAGTTATGACTTAAACTGGTTGATAACGTCCTTCCAATGATTGCTAAGTTTGTACCCATCTTCTCAGTTGAAATTGTGTCTGTGTCTATATATATGGATGGTTTCATAAACGATTTTTTGTTGATAGCCAGTGGATTTGCAAAGTACCTTAGTCTGAGATCAATCAATATCGTGTGAGCCCACCGCATTAAAACAATGATCAGCCAGATCTGTCTTGTGTTCACGAACACGGTCTGAGAACACAAGGCAGATCTGAAACATGGTAGGACCAATACCTCGGCCGTGGCTGATCATTGTTTTAACGCGGTGGGCTTCTCCCCCTGTCTCTGCCCCCTCCCTCCCCCCATTGTCTAACGCACTCACTTTACTTGTGCTGCTTTGCTGCTACCCATGCTGTTTACGCCACACAGCTTTGCTCACTCTGAAAGCCTTTATAAGCAATTTCATTTGGAGGCTTGCCCCCTGTTTTCTCTCCGCCGGATGAAGAACGTCGTGGTATTTTTTTGCTTTTATTTTTAATTTTTTTTCTATCTATGTGACTTTACAAAAAGAACCAAGAATATGAATTCCTGCAGTCACAAAAGTTTTTAAGTCAAAATGTATACTGCATACCACGTGCATTTTTTTTTTGCTTACCTGCCAGTGTGTAGTCCATTTCCAAACCAAAACATCGCATCCTCTCCACTGCTAAACTACGATTCACAAAAATCCTACAAAAGGATAAGCAGAGAATAAGTCGGGTTAGAGCTATAAAATTAAACCTACCACACTTAGTTATCATGTATTTAAGTTCAGGAGCCCATCCGTGCAGACCCATGAGTGGGTATTCTCTTGTGAGATTTGGTTTACTGTTGGTGCTGCAGTTAATAGTACCCAAAGTTCGAATTCCCAGCCAGGACTATCATCAGTGTTGAGTGATATTTGAATCAGCCTTGGGCACCACTGCACCAGCCCACACTGACCTTCCCCGTGATTGATCGACGTGGCATTTGTGTAGGCCTTCATTTGGCGGTGAATTGAGAAACGGCTGTAAACCAAATTGGAAAACAGATATGACTAGGGATTGAAGATCTGCATGTATCAAACAATAATCAATACTTTTAACAAGTAAATATACTTTTAATTGTGCTTTTGGATATATTAGACGCCAAGAGAAAAACTAAATTCAAGTGTTTATATTTGTACATACGTGGATAATGCATACTCGTCCCAAAAGACCATTCATCTACTTAACAAAATGCTCAACAAAATTATCATAACTCTGTGCTAAAGAGGAAATTACACATATATACACACACACAGTATGGGGCCGTCCATAAATGACGTCACGCGATTTTGGACGATGTTTGACACCCCCCCCTTTGTCACATGGCGTCACAAAAAGTCAGACCCCCCCCCCCTCAAATATGACGTCACAAAGCTCTGCCCCCCCCCCAAATAAAACATGCTTCAAATCGCTTTGTAGTGCGTATTCAATGTGGCGCTGCTCTTTAATGGTGTAGGAGAAAACATCTATTAAAAAGCATATTTAATTAATTAGAACGTGTTGTCTATATTTATTTAAAGTTGCGCATTTTGATGTGACGTCACATTTCTCAAACCGCTCCCCCGCCTTCATCACACATCGTCACAAATGTCGGACCCCCCCCCCCTCCAGGTGCGTGACGTCATTTATGGACGGCCCCTATATAAAAGGTGAGATATGTTTGGTTCATGGCCCTTGCCCAAAAACGTTACCGATTATATATGTGGATATGTTTTTGGTGGGGGGGGGGGGGGGTGCAAAGGCCAAACAAATACATTCAGTATTATATATATGTGTAGTGACATCGCGGATGTCACTGTGTAATGCCGGCTCTAGAGAGGCACGGCGTGCGATGTATCGACATCGCAGACACCACTTGGATGTGGGTGCAGTACCGGCCCTAGAGGGGCTCGGTGAGCGCTGACTGACAGAGCTGGATGGCACCACGCTCTGCGTGCAGTGCCGACCCCTATAGGATAGGGTGTAAGAGTGCCGGCCATGGGAATGGGCGTTACTAAGGGCCATGGCACTCTGGTTGACCCTGAAGGACACGTGACCGGTCAAGTCTACACAGGGGCCCCCAGGTGGGGGCTAGGGGTGGTCACGTGTAAGAGTCGAGATCCTGCTCGAGGGTTCTCGAAGGTGGGCGTGGCCAAGGGCGGGGCCAGCCACGCCGCAGAGGATAAAAGCCGGGGCCCCCCAGAGGGACCGGCTGCTGTTGTTCATCCTGAAGAATCTACGTTCTACAAGAGTGACCAACACGTGGACCTGGACCCAAGCTAGGGTCCGGTCCATCGTAGCTACTTCCAGTGTAATTAATGCAGTTAGCCTGGTGGTCCACCACCATAGATAGGTTGTTATATTGTTAAGGGGTATAAACCCCGTGTGTTGGTTTTAATAAATGTGTTCCCTCCAAGAAGTGTGTCTGCAACTCGGTTAAACTCACTACATATGTATACGTTTGTTCTTGACGAAAGTGTTGAGTATGTGTTATTTATGATTGTACACCACTGCCAATGCAATGTGACGAGTTTTGTGTTGAACTTTGAAGTTAACCCAAACGTTGCCAACTCGTGACGATGCGTTCAGGAATGGAAAAATAACTGACTGAGTACAGCACCCGAGCGCAATTGGTAATATTTCCAACAAATGTGTGTCCTTTGCCGATGACGAGTAAACCACAGGGTAGAGTTGCTGATAGTGTGCGTGTTATCAGGAGGGTTTGATCAATCCCTGGCGATAGAGACGATGGTGACATTGATTGGTACGATCCACTGCATGTTTGGAGGTTGTGCACTCTGGCAGATAAACCTGAGTGTAGCTTTCTTTTTATGGTTACCATAATCTTGTGTTTAAACGTAAGTATATCAATGAAACGTACACTGATTAGGAGTCAAACAGGAAAATACTGAGAAAATAAGTTAATGTGGAGGGTAAGAAACTGATTTAAGCAGCTTATTCAAGATTTGGACAACACTTACATACTCTGGCTCAAATAATGTTGCTGGACGGAAATATACCTGTGATCACAATTTAGTAAGAACTCATGTATAGCTCAAATACAAACCATTATATCATAATATCCTCGGCCCTTTGTCGATACACGACTAGATGAGTGACCTCCCCACACTGTGCGGGTAAATCACAATGTACGGTGGTCGTCGATCCAATAACTATCCAGTAATAAACCTGGCTTAGCTCCTGAGATCTGACAAGATCACGTGAATTCTGAGTGATTTGGTCACAAGCGAATGATATTATAATGTTTATT